TGAGGTTTCGCCAAGTTGCCCAGGCAGGCAATCCACTCACCTCAGCCTCCCAAAGCGCAGGATTACAGGCTGAGCCACCGAGCCCGGCCAGTGTCTCTCCTTTATTGCAGGAGCCCCAGTCCCTCCCTTGCAATAATCTTCTCAAATAAAAGCCTCTCCTCACTTCATTCTCTTCCTCGTGCTTATTCCTTCACGGGAAAGGCTTCTTCGAATATGCCTTCCATTCCACCATACTTCCCATCACCCCATGACCTTCTAGAATGTAAATCTGACGATGTGTTTCTCCTAAGCATCCGTTAGCCCTTCCTGGAACAAGGCATCCGCTTTGGAGTCAGACAGATGGAGGTCGAAACCCAACTCAGCTACTTACGAAGGGGCAGTTTGCCTTCTATCAGGCCCTGCTTCCATCATTTAGAAAATAGGAATCCCTCCCTCTCTCAGGAATGGCAGCTATTTTATTAAGCCAGGAAACAAATGTATAGAGCCAGACCGGCTTGGTATTTCCTTCTTAAATGGTAACAGCTCATGTTTACTTAGTTCTCAGGATGTGCCAGGTTCAGATTTCATATGCATTATCTCATTTAATTCCTCACCACCATCTCATGATGTGGTTATTATTATCAGCTCCATTTTATAGGCAAGAAAAGTGAGGCTGAGAAGAGCGATCAGGTGACTCGTCCAAACCTCACTGCTAAGAAGTGGTGGGGCTCATATTTGAGCCAAATCTGCATAGAGCTCACCTGCTCTGCATTATCTCCAAGATGAAGGGTAGTCTCCTCACTGACCCAACACATTGACTCTGCCTGCCACTAAAAACCACCTCTTCACCCAAGACCCTGGCGGTCATGCTATTCTCGGCACAGTATGAACGACTGCTTCCTCCTCAATTCCCCCCAACCCACACATTTTGGGGTTGGCCTCAAGACTCAGCTTTGAAAACTCTATTCTATGGCATTTTCTCTGACTCTCCCAGAGATGGACTCTTCTTTATACTCTCAGAGCTCATGCACGTATTTCCATTATCTCTTCCATCATTGAACTTATTTTTGACATTAGGACAAAGGGTGTGAGGTGATCTTCGGGCCTAGCAAAGCTGAAGGAGATTCACAGGACTCAGAAAGAACGTGAAAGGACTTTAAAGCAGAATCAGAGGGTAAACAGATTTGTTGAATCACACAGGTTTAATGATAAATGCAGATAAATGATAACAGGGTGGGCTGACAGTCTTGCAGGCTCAAATTAGCTGTGAGCACAGCACCAAATAATATGTAACATGGATCCAGGGGATATGGGCAACTAGTGCAGCTCCAGGAGGGCATGGCTTGAAGTCTACAGCGGGGTTCCCCAACCCAAGGCCATGGACCAGTACCAGTCTGTGGCCTGTTAGGAACCAGGCTGCACAGCAGGAGATGAGCTGGCAAACCAGCAAAGCTTCATCTGTACTCACAGCGGCTCCCTGTGCTCACACAACCGCCTGAGCTCCTCCTCCTGTCAGCTCATTCTCAAAGGAGTGCAACTCTATTGTGAACTTGGCATGCAAGGGATGTAGGCTGCGCATTCCTTATGGTCCTTATGCAAATCTACTGCCTGATGACCTGGGGTGGAGTTGAGGTGGTGATACTCACACTGGGGAGAGGCTGCAAATACAACGAACGTTAGCATGAGGTTTGACTGCAGAGACCATCATCAACCAGTTGCTTGCAGACTCATATCAACACTCGATCAGTGAGCGGCAAGGGAGCTGCTGTACTTCAGTTGCACAGCTGCATGCGGTGGCAGGCTTTATGTCAGAATCTGACACTTATTTTTTTAGTCCACCCATGGCCCACCCATTATTTTATGGATCACTTCCGTCTGTGCCTCTTTTTAATGGTGAGTTGTAGAATTATTTTGTTATATATTACAATGCAATAATAATAGAAGTAAAGTGCACAATAAAGGTTATTGTGCTTGAATCATCCTGAAACCATCCTCCCCCACCCTGTCCATGGAAAAACTGTCGTCCACAAAACCGGCCCCTGATGCCAAAAAGGCTGAGGACCGCTGCTCTACAGGAATAGCCCCTATACATGAAGACTTACTCATCTCTCTTTATCAAGGAGAGAATCACCCTGGGTGTGATATGCCACATCTAATGCCTAGCTCACAATACCTGGTCATGTGCAATCTCCACACATGGAGAAGAGAATAACCCACTAATTAAGGATAGTAAAAGTGTTTCCTAAGTCGGTGCCAAGGTTTGTATGTTTTTGCTCCTCCAGAATTCATGTTGACCTTAGACCCCAATGCAACAGTATTAAGAGGCAAGGCCTATAGGGGGTGATGAGGACATGAAAACTCTGCCCTCACGAATGCGACTGGTGCTTTTACAAAAGGTCGAAGGGAGAGCCCTGGTGTCTTGTGCCCTTCTGCTCGCTTTTTTCACGTAAGGACGCAGCCAGAAGGCACCATCTTGTTGCTGTGCAAGGCCTCCTGGATCTTCCCTTGTGCACATCACACAGTTCCACGCATCTCACACTTATCACAAGTGCGTGCAACTGTAGGTAGTTGGAGCTTCTGCTGCACACTCATGCCTCCACTGTCATACTTCCACAACGTTATCGAATTTCAAATATAATTCAGAATGGTCTTGCACTCCTTGATAGACAACTGTGCTCTCACCATTTTCTTGATTGTCCGGCTTGTCACATGGTCACATTGGTATTCATTTGATCAATGTTATCTTTTGAGCAAACCTCATACTACACATTGCTACTATAATTCAATTCAATTCTGAAAAGTAATACATAGATAACAACTCTTAAAATGTGTATATATAGATTTTGGCACCCCCTGTATTTACCATTCTTTTGCAGCAAAACAATGATTGAAGGGCACTGTGGGCATTTAGGGGGTGGGAACCAGGAACTGACGTGCCATGGTGTCAAACTTAAAAATTAGGAAATGACACATACCTCACATGACTTTCAGAAGCCAATTTACTTGGAATCTGTTTTACAGATATAGATCATCTTCAGTATGAATTTAACATATGTTGACTTTTCTAAGAATGCAAGTACCAGGTCAACTTAGGGAGGAATATATTTTGTCTGGTTTTGAACGTCACAAGACGTTGGTTGTTCACCATTTCAGAAGTTGCCATAAAAACAGCAATGCTGCTGACAGTATGTAAGTGACTAAGACAACCTACCCTTGCATCAAACCAGTCTATTTGCTGCTGTGGTTTCCAAGGTGACTGCCCTTATGGATGCAAGCAATCGACAACTCATGTGTACACATGAGCCTTCAGTGACACTGTGCTCACAGATGTGTACACGTTAGTTATCAAGTTTTCCTTTAAGTTCTTGTTGACATATGGCATTTATTTTGGTTCTATAGACAGATGGGTTATGATAACTATGACTTCCATATCAGGATAACAAAAGGTACATTACAAAATATTTGTTACAAAAGGGGGCACTGAATGGACAGCAAAGAAAAACTATCCTGACTGAATTACAGTTTTAGAAAAAGTAAGCCATGTAGTATCCTGAGTTATGATACAAGAGACAAAAACAGTATTGTTAGAAAGTGCAGAGAATTAGTTAGACAGAAGAAATAAGACCTGGTGTTCCGTAGACCAGCAGGGGACTATAGTTAACATTAATCTACTGTACCATACATTTCAAATAGCTAGTGGAGAATGATTTGAAACTTCCCAGCATAAAGAAAAGATATATACTTAGGGTGAAGTATATCTCAATTACCCTGATTATATGAATATATCAAATTATCACATGTACCCCCAAAATATGAGCATCTATTACATATCAGTAAACTTTTTTTTAAGAAATAAAAGGCCGGGCTTGGTAGCTCAGCCTGTAATGCCAGCGCTTTGGGAGGCCGAGGTGAGTGGACTGCCTGAGCCCGCAGGTTCCAGACCCGCCCGGGCAACTTGGCGAGACCTAATCTCTTCAATAAATCAAAAATTAGTCAGGCGTGGTAGCATGCCTGTAATTCCGGCTCCTTGGAAGGCTAAGGCGGAAGGATCACTGGAGCCCAGCGAGCC